AAGGTAGTTATTCCCATAATATTGTATTTGAAATGCTTCATTGCTGATCTCAGAAGACACCTTCATTAACGACAACCAGGGGAATCATGAAAGCGTGTAGGGCAATAAGTAATGGCCTCTGTCATTCTGTCGAAAGTAATAATGAGCAGCAAATGAATTGAGATGCGTTGTGGGCGAGCTGTAAGATATTGCTGATTAGGACAAAGTAAGGTCGAATTCAGCATTTAAAAGGTCCAATTTGGTACAAGCAAAATGATGTATGACCCCACTATCGGGAAACACGAAATGAGAATAAAAATATCATGTGAAAATCATTGAAGAGAAGTAGTAATGATAATTTGTGGCCACAATGTCATGTTGTTAGAAACTGAGACTCATTTTAACTTGATGTACGTACTCGTTTTAAGCTGATGCTCTACTACTTGCGCTATGCCAGATTGATATCATGTGTTTCAGTTGTTCCAGAGCAGCAGGTAACACTCGAAAGTCAGCCTACATATCCTCTGGAACACAGGTCATCTATTATTTTTCAAGGTTTTAGTTCCGAAATGATACAGAGAGTAACATTTATCCTCAAATCAGTGAGAAATTTGCGAGCAACACCAATAGTTGTCACCTTTATTGCATGAGACACGTTGTTATATTCGAAATTGAGCAGCTTTTGTGAAACGGTGGATATTTTGATACTTCAGAGTTTTCAGCACNAGTGAATTGCAGATGTTGATGAAGAAACGTGATTCACAGTACAGGAAGAAGAACGCGGTGATTGTTCGCTCGCTAGTGATCTCTGGATTCAACTTGATATGCAATCTGCCATCTCATTTGCTCCGAGCTCTGTGGACATTCGAATTTGGGCAAGTATGAATTATTGAATTACGCGTTATGGGTTCAAAACTTTATCATGAACAAAGACATTGACCGCTTTCAATCGGTAAATGCATCACTCAAATGTGGAGTGATATTAACTTCGAATCTTTGGTAGAGCTTTTTATTTCTGCTTCTTCTCCTTAATGTGTGAGAAGAGCTCCCATGGATTGGAGCTAAAGCACCGGAAATTTGTCAGAATGAAAGTCTTCATTTCAGGAATTAATGTCACAGGAATGGATGAAATACGTTGAAGGTTTGTTCAAAATTTTGTGCGATGTTGTATCTTGCAGTCACATTTATTACCTTGTTCGCATCAATCCATATGAAAGAGATGATGGCGAGATCGGTGGAAAATAAAGTTGAGTGAGATGATTTGAACGAAGCGGATGACGATTAATCGTAATAATGATCAGGCGCCTTTCAGTAGGAAACAGGA